AAACGCCTTACTATACTATGTCGTTTTTTTCGGCTAAAAAAGCCTTACTATACTACTTCGTTTTTTTCGTGCTAAAAACGCCTTGCTATACATGGTCGTTTTTTTGGGCTAAAAATGGCTTACTATACATGGTCTTTTTTTTCGGCCAAAAACGCCTTACTATACATGGTCGTTTTTTTCGAGTTAAAACGCCTGACAATACATGGTCGTTTTTTTTGGCCAAAAACGCCTTACAATACGTGGTTGTTATTTTCGGCCAAAAACGGCTTACTATACATGGTCATTTTTTTCGGCCAAAAACGCCTTACTATAAATGGTCGTTTTTTTCGGCCAAAAACGCCTTGCTATACATGGTTGTTTTTTTCGGCTAAAAACGCCTTACTATACATTGTCGTTTTTTTCGGCCAAAAACGCCTTGCTATACATGGTCGTTTTTTCGGCCAAAAATGGCTTACTATACATGGTCCTTTTTTTCGGTAAAAAAACGCTTTACTATAGATGGTCGTTGTACTTTGAAAACTTGAAACTATAAGCCTGATCTGAAACCCAACTTGGAAACCCAACTGGTAGTGCTTATACTGTATATTGTGAGGGATTGAGCCCGCGGCCCCTTGCAAGCCACCCACAACCTCACAGCACAGCATTGGTGAATAAATCAGACGATGCTAAAATTGCCTTTATTACGTGAAAAACAAGGATCAGTGCATTGGCAACAAACAAAAGGTCAAGTTCACAATTCCAGGTGGTGGCGCTGTTTCCCGTGGCTAAATCGCAAACGAAACCAGACCATTCGCAACAAGACGTGCGCGTACCGCATCCCGGAAGTCCAAAATAACCACTCGGTGAGGGTCACGTCATTCAAACACCAAATATGGCTCAGTGCACAAAAAGGGAATGGACGCTTGTAAAGTGCGCAAACAGTCTTTTCTTTAGCAGCCCGAACGTCAGTTTCCGTGCATTCTAAAAGTGATGCTCGGTGCAAGGATGCAACGAAAGACTCTCGCCACGATGACGATGTTTACAGATGGAGAGGTTTGATGATTTAAAAAAAACAAACAAAATCGATTCGATGAATCGAAATCATGCAGGCGAGTGGAACAGGAATTTGGTGCAAAGATGGTAGCAATCGTGGAAAATAGCCTTCAAATTTTTTGTTGGGGTGGAGGTGAGGGCTCCATCATCTGGCAGTCATGTCTTCTGAGTGCGACTCCCCTTGAAGGGTCAAAAACAAAGAAAAGGGGTCAGCCTTTGACCAAATCTTTTTTTCTCACACACTTCAAGAAAATGTGGTGGCGCCTCACGATGCTCGATACTGGTTTTGGCGCACCAAATGGAGTGGCCGGTGGCTCGTTGCCATCGTTACCTGTGCAGTGGAGAGTCGGGTTGTCGTAGCGAGAGTTGGCGCCGCGCGGAGCGTCTTCGTCTTCGGTGTCGCTCTCGCTGCTCGTCGCCGGGGCGGACGGCGCCGGGTCTATGAGGGAAAGAAAGAGGCGCTTCGAGTGGCTGCGGCCCAAGCTCCCAAATGCCCCCCCCCCCCAAAAAACCCCCCCACACGTTCTGTTGCTTCTTGTTGTTTTTTTCTAAGCAAGACACTTGAGCTCAGGAAGCATCAAAAGGAATCGGGGTGAAAACTGGCCTTCACTGGACTGTGTCTGTGCCGATGGTCCCTCGAGCAAGGAATGGTGGGAGTTTCCTGAGCTTTCCGATTCAGAGTGCGACACGGCTGCCCTGTGGAAAGCCGGTGGGGTGGGGGGTGTCCGGTTGTGAAATCGCGCCTCGTTTTCCAATGGTGTTCCGCAGTACTTGTCGCACCCTAGGTTCCTGCTGCCGCAGCTGTTGGGGGCCGGCAGGTAGCCGGATCCCACGCCGGAGAAGATGTCGTCCCTGGGCCCCGCTGGCGTGTACAGCTGCGCCTTGGAGGGCGGCTGCTCGCTGGAGACCTGAGCGCCGTCCGTCGCTCCCGCGCCTCCTGCGGGACACCACAAAAGTTTGGCAATAGCAACAGGAGGGGAACAGACTCTCCCGGAGCGCCTCCCCGCCCACCAATGGATGATTTCACATGATCAATATTGCACCACCGCGACAATGTGCATTCTCCAAAACTACACACCGTCAGCGGCCTCTTTGAGATGCAGGTTGGGTTCCGCAGCCATGTCGGCGCCTTCCGAGTCTTTCTCCGTCTGCTCGGGACTCCTCTGGTGACCCAGCGGGGCGTTGTTGCTTTCCAGGACGGACGGCAGGCTTTTACGTCCTGGAAAGTGACGTAAAAAAACAAAAAAAAAAGACATGAGCGTGGAGTTATACAATCGCAATTTCAGCCCCCATTGTTTGAATTTTGGCCTGTTTTACTGCCACTTCGCCTCCACTACTTTGGGACTTCTCACCGGGACGACAAGGCCTGGACCGAACCGCGGCCACCCTGCCGAGCAGCGTCAGCTCACGGGGCTTGCGTCCGTCCGCCGACTCCGGGTCGGCGCGGTGCGAGGGAGCCCCGTCGGCCCCGAAGATTCCCGACGGGCCCGGTCTCACGTCGCTGGCCGCGCGGGCCTCCAGCACCTGGCTCTTGACGTCGGACATCTTGCTGCGCACCTCGGCCATCTGCGCCTTGAGGCGGACGAGAACCGCAGAGTCTGGGGGGGAGCGGCGCACCACCTGCGGACGGCGCTCCCGCTCTTTCCTGGAGGGTAGACTGGCTGGAGGGGACACGGAGAAACGGCGGGTCGTTGGCTTTTGGCTTCCGCTGTACGAGGGGCGCGTCTGGCGCCGCTGCGCACACCTTGGCCGCGTAGGAGGGACGCCGCATGACGAGGCTGAAGGCCCCACAGGGACTCGGTGCAGACAGGAGCTGGCGCCGCCTGAGGAGGAGGCAGAAGAGACAATGTCAACAGGACAACGCGTTAGATCAAGTCTGGGATTGACTTTTGACAACATTCGGGATTCCACTTCATCCGAATTTGTCGTTGCCTTTTGCGGGACGGACTTTCTTTGTCCTCCAATGAGCTAAAATGACTTGCGTCCGCTTCGATCCCATCGCGCCACCGCTTGCTTTGTCATGCATGCGGCAGGTCTTTCTTTTGACCCTTGAATGCGAAATTTAGACAAGACTAAATTCAAGTGAAAACTTTCAAACGGTAATAAATTTGTTCAGGACTGTCTCATTTTTTTACATCTCCGAGAAAAGTCCTCTTTTCAGGTCAGCGATAAAAAAGGACAAACTAAATCAATCATTTGGATAAAAAGCCACTGGTGCCTGTTTCTCTATGAGCTCATTCGAATGACTCATCTTCCTCCAACGCAAGTCAGCTGGCGAGTGAAGGGGGGGGGGGGCGCTCCCTGTCGCAGGCAGCGCTCGAAACGTTCTGGGCATGACTGGCCTTCTTTCGGCACTGGCTCCCAAAATAAAGCCCATACAAGAGGCCTCGCTGCGGGGCGGGAGAGTTGATGAGTCACCATCTACCGGAGGGGGGGGCTCGCACGCACACACGCCCTCCTTTCAAGGAGACGGCTCAAGTTTGTGTCAGTACCCGAGGCTCCGTCCAAGTCGTCGGGAAGCTCCCCTTCCTCGGCGTCCAAGTTCCCGATGAAGTCCACGTCGTTCTCACCTGACCTGAACGAGCAGAGCGGCCAATGACAATCAGTGACACGTCGGCTGCGCCGCCACTGAATCCAAACATTCTTCATACGAGAACTATTTCATGAGATGACTTTGGATTGACAATACTGTCAAAAAAAGTTTGAAATATTGCGATGGGATTTCAGGCCGCACCCAAAACGCAGCACGGGCGGCAAAGCCACTCACATGGTTTCTTCATCGATGTCGTTCTCCTCGGTGTTGCTGGTGGCCGTGGAGCTCCCCGAGGTGCTGCTGCCGTCCAGCGGGTTGGCCTCCTCCTCGGTGAGGCAGTCCGCCTCCAGGTCACCGTCGGACAGCTGCCGAAGGACAACGCAAAGGTCTCTCGCCGCTTGCGCGCGTTTTGGCGAGCGACGGGCGGCGCGCGCGAGGGTCCTCACGTTGGAGTCGTCGTGCGCGCTCCGCTCGTCTCGGTTGCCGGCGTCGGCCTTTTTGGCGTCGCTCGGCGCGTTCTGAACGTCGCCGTCGCTCTTGACGGCGCGAGGGTTTCGTTCGGACGCGGCGCCGCCCACCGCCAGCCTCGGGTTGGGGGGCGAGGAGCTGCGCGACGAGCGCTGGCGGAACACTTCGATGGCCAACCTCTGAGAGACAGCCCAGAAAAAATGTTGTGACATTTGTTTGTAAGAAATAAACGTATTACCAATGTATATTGTTGTTGTCTGTGTCATGATCATATGCAATTGACTAAGTCGACCATTTCAGAATTCGAAATTTGGGACTCTTTCAATGCATCATGGGACTCATACTTTTCTGATCAGCGAGTCCCTGGGACTCGCAGGAATCAAACTGGAAAATGATCACTGCTTTATATGACCTTTCAAAATCTTGCCAAGATTTGAGTTTTGAAACAGGTTTTGTAAAATGTAGTCACGGCGCCGTCACTCGCTCAAACACACGCGGTTACTCGCTCCCTCTTATTTGCTTGCTTGCGTCGGTTTCCTCCCACTCGCGTTGACTCGAGCGTCGCGGTCGCCCGTCTTACCTCTTTGAGGTTGTTGATCTGCTGGACGTAGCCACTCTGAGCCGATTCCAGCTGGCTGATGTACCAGTACTGGTCTCGGCACTTCTGGAAGAAAGTGGGCGATCGCACCTGGTATCTGAGCGCCACAAATCAAACAACACTGTTATTGGGCGCGCCGCGCGGCGCAGCGCAGCGCAACATCCGGCGAACCCAGCGGGACAGTTTGCACAGTTTCGAGGGAGTCTGACTTGAGCGTGGCGCATCCCCAGCTCAATTGCAGATGTTGCGCTCCACAGCATTAAAAGAATAAAAGCCTGCAACGCGTTATTTGAAAGTTTGGAATTACCGTAGCATCGTCGCTAACATCTGTTATCACGTGACTAAGTTTCCTCAAATTGATGTCCAAGGATTGTCTCTAACTTCTCGTCAGCGTGAGGATACGTACTTTAAACAAGTGCTGCGCAAGCATGTGGGAGGGGTCAAACTATTTTTTTTTTTTCCAATGCTAGAGTCTCTCCGCAGTGCAGAACGCAAGCGCGTCCGGAACACATCCCCGACAAGAAACGGGGGAGCGGCCGCCAAGCCGCCGATGTCGGGCGGGAGCGTACCGTAGCACCAGCGTGTCCGTCTGCATGTTCAGGTAGCCCTCGCTGGCCAGCAGGTCCAGGCGGAAGAAGCGGTTGTAGCCCCAGCACTCGCCCACCTCAAAGTCGGAGGCAAACTCGCGGATGATGTTCTTGCTCGGGTCGCTGGAGGCCTGGTGGACCATCTCCACGCGGTACTCGTACCTAACGCGCATGAGCCAGACCGGCCGTCACGGGAAGGGAGGGGACTCCGACAAAGACGAGCGCTCGGACTGACTTGGAGGTTTCGGGGAGTCCGGCGGACAGCTCCAAGAACACGGACAGGTAGTTTCCGCGAACCACGCCGTTGCCATCCTGAAAGGACCGGGCGCTCAAAGTCAACCGGATGCCATTTCGCTCACAAAATGACACGCGACGGTGCTGTGAAAAAGGATTTGCCCCGCCCCCTCCTCATTTTTTTTTCCTTCTATCAATCACACACAAAAGTTTCACGTCATCAAACTCATTTTAATATCGCTGACAATATGAACGACAATTGCATTTCTTAACGCACAAACCTTTCTGACCCGCTGCGAAAAAGTAATCGCAAGTCACTGAAACCAGGAGAGCGGGGGGGCGGCAAAGGCCGATCCACGGCAAGGAAGGAGTAGGGGCAACTCACCGGGTAGACTTTGAGCCTCCAACAGAGTCCGGCGATCTGCAGAGGAGGGCTGTAGACCGGGTCGGCCCGCTGCCGCAGGGTGCTGCAAACACAAACGTGCACAATCCAAGATGAGAGTTGCATCCGAATTGCGCCAGTCGGCCTTCCTCAACGACGACTCGGGTCGGCGTACCTGAAGTTGACCAAAACAAACGTGCTGGAGTCGTACGCCGGAACCAGCTCGCTGAAAAACACCCAAGCCCAAAACAGAGCCGGTGAAATATTCCCTGCCGTAACTTTGCAATCTCCTCTTTGCCGAGAACACAGCGAGACGCTCTCAAAGCCGTCGGCGCCTTTTTTTTGAAGCGCGGCCGTACCGGAAGACTCTTTGTCCTCGGCGGACAATTCGGAACGCCTCTCGGCTAGGAGAGGACAACGGCTGTGTACCACTCGGAACTCTTTGAGTGAATTTTTTTAGATTCTTTTGGGAAACGGCCTTCCATTATGTGCTAATAAAAAAAAAGACCCTTGTCTCATAGTTTGTCCTCAGGCCCCCATCTGTTGAGGAACTACAGTGAAGTGAATTTTGGAGCTTCAATTCGAGAAAAAGTTGTGCTTTGTCACCATCTAGTGACATGGAAAAAAAAAACGCTCTAAGTGGCTTTGCCTGCGGGAAACACGGGGCGGCCTTGTGGGGAGTGCGTGCGTGCGTGCGTATCAAGTACCTGGTGAAGTCGGGCGGCACCGGCGTGGTGACGAAGGACTGCATGGGTTTCCTGTGGACTTGCTGGAACATGAGCAGGATCTCCGGACTTTTGGAGATCAGCTCGCTCTTACTGCACGAGTGGAGCTGGGGCGTGCGTGGGCGCAAACAGACAAGACCAAAAAAAAAAAAAACTCAGGCGGTGTACTTGCAAGTCAAAATCGACAACGCGTCCCGTGATGCGGTGCGCCCTCGGGATGGATGAACGGGTCAGCGCCTTTCATTCGTATTGCTTCTCACGACACCGGCGACCCGATGTTTTGGGCCGCCGTGAATCTCGCAAAGTCAATCAAATCCACATGCGGTCCAATCAGAATAAACTAGTTGACATTCGGTTCGTCACAAAAAGAATGCACCTTCTCCCGGTGCGGCTTATGTCTGATTTTTTTTTTTTTTAATAGACCCGTTTATTGATACTGCACCTACGAAGACGGCGTGCTTCGTGGTCCATAAAATACGTGACACTTAAGCTTCCTATTAAGAGCCAAAGGTCACTTGGGTCAAATCCTGCTTCATCGCGGTTACTTGCCATCGATTCCCTTTACAGTGGTTCCCGTTCATCTTTCAAAATCGATACAGTTTTCCAAGGCCCGCATGATGAAATCATGTGACGCTGAGGTTTGGCTCATTCCACCAACAGGAAGGCTCAATCAAACGAGTGGCAGAAAGAGAAGGCAAGGAAGGGCTCCAACCTGATGCTCCACCTCCTGCAGGATCGACTCCAGCAGCTCCGTCTCCTGGGTCAAGGACGTCTTCTGGCCTGATGACGGAACAAGAAGAGGAGGAGGAGGAGGAGAGTGTTGCTATTTTCAGAGCACTTGCGCATCAACGCGGAAAGCCTGCTGCGGAGACTGGATGACTGTGTAGGTGTGCGCGCGTGGGCTCGAGGACACACGGTCTGATTGCAGCAGCAAAATGGGCGGGCCTTAAAATGTGACCGCCTGACCTGTCTGATCGCAATTTTTTTGTTCTTATATTTGATTTATTATTCTGATTATTTTTTTTTTCTTTTTTACAGAGAAGCTGCTATGGCGCCAACTGTCGCCACAATAACGAAAAACACTCAAGCTAAACACGACTGCTTAGTGTCTTCTTCAAAACCTTCATGTTGACAGTTGCCAGTTGAGAGACATTCCAGTCGAATAAATTGTCGGTTTGGAAAGAAACTCAACCGCTCCTTTCTATTCACTTTACACTTGTTACTTGAAATGCTTCAAAATATCTTTTGGAAGTAATAAATACGATGAGAACATTTTGCGTATTGCTTTTTTCACGAGCACAGTGACGCTGTATTGTCGCCTGACGAGTGTCAAATTATCATCCCGCGAGACATTTTTGAAATCGCTGCATCCCGATTGTTTCTAATTCCTAAAAAAAAAAAAAAAAAAATGTATCGGACCGAACAAGGTGAGCCCGGTGCATGGCCTACCCATGAGCGTGATGAGTTTATTCTTCAGCTGGTTATCCAGACGGGCGATCATCATTTCCACCGCGTTCCGGATTTCGCGGACCCGCTCGTCCTTGGCTCCCCGCACCGCCTCCACGTTCCTTTCCTGGCACAACAGCAACGCTTTAGCGCCATCTAAGGCTCGTCTGCAGTACGACACGCATCCAACGAGCTCGGGAGCAGAACAAGTACGACGCTCACCACTTCCTGCACCAGGCTGATGAGCTCCATGAGGCGTCGCCGCAGCTTGGCCACCTCCTCTTTCACCTTGCTCACGTGCTGCTCGTAGATCTCCACCAGCGGCTTGAACGTGTGGCCGCCATGCTGCGCGAGCCCACAAACGCAGAATACGTCATCGTCACACAATCGGGACGAGAGGCTCTTTCGTGTAGGCAAGACTCGGTTACCATGCCGCCCCACAGAGCGCACTGGTGGCAGATGCATTTCTTGCACGTCCAACAGAAGACGCTCAGCTTTTCGTGATGGTTCTCACATCTGCAGGCGGGATATTTCATCAATTTAAAAAAAAAAGGGACCAAGAGTGGCGACGAGGAACGCCAAATAAAGCTTGATTAATTCATATATAGGCATCATGACACAAAAACGTATCGGTTCAAGGCCCAATCCCTGTGACGGTAAATGTAATTACTGCCCTCTAGAGGCACCGCCCGGTACTGTTATTTTACCGAGCCCCAAAAAGGAGGCGGCGCCCGCCAAAAAAAACCCGCATGACGAAGAAGCCGAGCGGCTGACTTGTCTTTGTCGTTGTCCTCGTGCTTGGTGAGGCTGCACAGCTGCAACGTGTCCAGCTGCTGCGTCACCTCTTCGGCCCAGCGGCAGTTCACCAGCTCCCTCAGCTGGAGTGGAGCCCTGCATGCGGACACACGCGCATTTGCGACGCTCGGGCATCTGAAGTCTGGAGACATAATTGGACTTTTGAGGAAAGGGCGGTCTTACCGACAGTGTGGACACTGTGCTCTCTGCTCCGTCAGCCAGCGCTGTCAATACACACTTCGATGTTAACGCATCACCAAAACCCGATGCGGTCATACCTTGACTTACAAGTAGGGATGGACTCGATATCTATCGTTTTAAGATGTCACTTGTAAGTCAAGGCGGCGCCGTAATAAAAGCGTGTCCACGTACTCGTATGCAGCTGAAGCAGCAGAGCTTGGAGCAATGCGGGCACAGGCGAGCGTCCCTCAGCTTCTCCATGCAGATGAAGCAGCGGAACACTTCGGCGATGCTCTGCGCCAACCAAACAACAAACAGGATCATTTGAAAATGAGCCAGGCTGGAATTCTGCGGCGACACACAAACCTCCACGCTTTGTTCGTCCATTTCCGCCAGTTTGAGTCCGTTGTCCACAAAGCCCGGCAAGAAAAATGTCACCGTAGCCTAGAAATGAAACAAAACACTGTGAGAGAAGTATTCATTTATACTCGGACTGTAACTGACAATCATTCTCATTAATTCATCTGTCACAGTACCTCGTTTGATTACTGACGTGTAAAAAAAAAAAAAAAAACATCTGTAAAAGTGTGTGTTCATGGTTTTCCAAAAGTAAAAGCAGATGTTTGCAAATTTCATGGAAAACTAGGCAAATCTGGTAACGTTTACTGACGAGAGGTTGAAATTCTGAGGATTTCAGTTAAAGCGATGGCTCATCTCTGATCGAAATAGTTGTCAATTAAACTGATAATCGGTTTGCTGTTGATGCATCGTTACAACCCTCATCTATACATGCAACGAAACAGGACATACAAATGAATGTTTTATACATTATATATAAAACAACACACACACACACACACACACACACACACACACAGATTGATGCAGTTTTGATGATAGCCCGAGTAGGGGATATGCTAGCTTTGCAGCGGTGTTCCTAACGTTGTAGCCGTTGAGAAGCTAAACATTTCAGGGCTTGTTGTCAAATGTCAGTTGCATCGAAGAGTCTCACCATTTGTGGGTACACCACAGTCTTAACATCTATTCTGTCGGCGACGTTAACAACGGATGAAACGTGAGAGGTTGCAGGGGGATAAATAAACCATGAGAGGCCAGCTAGCTTCCTCCTGGCGTTCGCTGTCGTCGCCGAGCTCACCTGCGAAAGACGACGTCGACGTCGTTACTCCCAGCGGACGAAACGACTTCTGCAAGAACGGCCGAGCAACATTGTCTTGTTCTTGTCTTGTTCTGCTCCAGGCGTCGTCCGACGTCCAAACATTGACGACGGAACGCCGCTCATGAGACCCGGAATCGAGAAGGGTAGCCTGACGACCGGTTGCCGCGGTTCAACGCCCCCCGGAATGGAAAAAGATGTGCAAGGGATCCGTAAAGCCCGTCCCTTCTTTAGTGATGTCCAATCAGAGCCCGGCATTTTCTTCTTCGTCTGTTAAAAGTCGTTCCGTAGCTGACAAAGAACGCTTTTGCCGTCTTGTGGTGGTAATGAGCACACCACAACAGCAAAACGTTCAAATCGAACGGTTTTTCTTTACTTTCCACTTTTACCCACTGCTGTGATGTTTCAATTTTATCGCTGATCTTTGTACTGTACTTCTTTTTCTTTGTTGTTTCTATCTAACGACCTCTCAATCCATCCCTGTCAGTTGCGGCTATATAATAAAATAGCTTATTTTAATAGTTTAACAAAATAAATTATTAAGTCAGTGTTAAATGTGTATGCAATTGTTGATTTTACATATTTGTAACAATGACAAAAAAATAGATTTCTTGAGATAAATTAAATCTCTTAATTTATGAATGAATAAAATCAACAAATATATTAAATAAACTCACACAGTCATTTTGCATTCCGGGGACAAGCATGCAACATTGACCACACGGTGGCGCCGCTCAAGTCCCTCCTGTGAGTTAGCTGAAAGCATCTTTGGAGCAAAAGGTGAGAAACTCAGCCAAGCCAGCTGCTCGCCACAGGATCTGACCCTTTGGTCCCCCCCACACTGTGAAGCAGCGTGAGGAGGACTCCACTGTGACTCGAACATGGGAACAACTTCAAGTGCGTTTTTTTGCAAAACGTAGCTGGGCTTGCATAGTTTTCTTTGTAAAATAAGGCCAAGGTCTTTCCACGCTACCCTATAACCCATTTTTTAACAGCATGTACTTAACAGCCAATACCTGCCAGAAATTCATGCTTCCACTTCAGTGGAAGGGTGACACGGTCCTCCCACATTCCAAAATTATGCATGGCAGGTTAATGGAACACTCTAAATTGTCCTTGGGTGTGAGTGTGAATGGTTGTTCATCTACAGTATGTGTGCCCTGTGATTCGTTGGCGACCAGTTCAGGGTGTCCCCCGCCTACTGCCCCATGACAGCTGGAATAGGCTGCAGCACACACGCGACCCTTGTGAGATTAGAAAATGGATGAATGCATACTTCAGTGCAGCTGGCAGCCTCACTGACCAGTTTTCTTTGCTTTTTATCAAGTCAAGACAAGTACAACTTTATTGTCAAATGTGCTGCACAGATGAAATTTCTTTCCTCTCAAGACAACATAAAACAAGAGGAGCCACTGCGGGTGTCTGCTCCGCCATTAAAGTTAACATAAAATGACAAAATAATACAAGGCAACACATTAGGCACAGACAATCGTGCAATCTTAACCACTTTCCTGCATACACTTTGTTGTCTGAAGCATTTATAGAATTTAGGGAGTTTGCTGCTTCGCCACTTCTTTAGTTTGTTTTGGTCCAGTGTTTTTATTTTTTTTCATGTAAAATAAGTCTGATGAGACTGCAGTGTCACCTATTTATTGATTTAAGTAAACAGGGAACAGATCAGTGAGAGTACAGTAAAATTAACAGCAAGTCCCAAATTAAAAAAAAATCCCCCCTCCCCCCAAAAGACTGTTTTATTTCTTACACACACACACACGCGCGCCCAACGCACACAAACAGCTTCAAATCCCCCTGAAAAATCAAACTGAAATGGAAATCAGTAGAAGTTTTAACACTGACAATTTTTATTTTTTTAATTGACTAGTCGAATCTGAAAGGTGAAGAAACTAACAACAACAACAACAAGCAAGAAATACATTTCTGTTATCAGCAAATGCTTAAAACCAAGAGACAACTCCCGTTCTTGCTCACCAGTACAGCAGGCCATTTTTTTTTTCTGGGTGGGTGGTGAGGCTAACCTGCATTAAAGTGCAGATGACTGGTCGAGGGATTCTCGGGGAGGCGGAGTTTCAAAGATCGGAAAATAGACACGGAGGGTGACTCTCCTTCGCGTGTTAGCTTATTATTACGTCGTCATTATTCTCGTCACAAAAGTGGCTCAGTAATACATTATTGGAAAAAAAAAAAAACATGTCAACACTGGGAGCAATGACAAGCGTCACCGCTAATGCTAACACTTTCTCTGCGTTCTTGGCGGAAAAGAAAATGGTGAAAAAAAGTGTTGAAGTAAAGCAATTATTTTTAATAATTTGGCAACGACAAAATATAAAATGTGGTAAAATCATTTCAAGTTCGGAAGCGCTGGTAGCCAATACTAGGTAAACAAATTTTTTGCCCAAGAAATTAAGCACAAGTTAAGCTAGGCCAGGGGTGTCAAACTCATTTCACATTGTGGGCCACATACGGACTCGGTAGATGTCAAGTGGGCCGGACCATTAACATTATATCATACTGTGCTATGAATCACCAAAATATCATCTTTCCTTTGTTTTGGTCTCAAGAAGCATTGATTGGCGCTTTCATATCATTTGCTGCGTTGGGTCTATCTCAGTGACAGACTGAGACTGCTGTTTTCTTCTCCAATCAAAACAATGTCTTCTACTGTGATCAAAACAGTGTGCCCCCTAGCGGATAATCCACGAATTGCATTTTATTTAAAATATTCATTCTGTGTCTTTAATGCATTTTTTTTTCACTTTTAAATCATCCCGCGGGCCGGATCAAACCTCCTTGGGGGCCGGTTCCGGCCCGCGGGCCGTATGTTTGACACCCCTGAGCTAGGCTAATCGTTTATTGGTACTAGGTTTGTGGTTAGTGATTTACTTATGAAATTTTTAGCTTTAAATTTAATTATTCAGCAGCTTCAGCTAGTTTCATCGGCTAAGCTAATTGTTTCTTGGTCCTGACTTTGTTTTGAAATCATCCATTCATCCATCCATCATCAGAGCCGCTTATCCTTGCGAGAAAATATGCGCAATAAACGTATGACATTTGTTAATGGAAGGTTTTTAAATCGGTGGCTTGATTATCCAATCAAAGAAAAAAGCTAACTTATGATTATTGATTAAATCGTTGAAAGTTTTGAGAGGCTAGTAAGTACATCTCGACTTTCCTTTAAACACCTCTCATTCTTACAACAGAGACTCAACAAGTGTAATTTACAGAACAATTTTAGGAGGCTAAGCTTTGTGCGCTAAGCCAAGCTAATCGCTTCCTTGTACGCGCGTCGCTTTTTAAGAGTGAATTTAATTTTTGCAAGAAAATAGCTATGTGCAAATGACTTAAGACATTTGAAATTTGCGAAATCCTGGTCGGCAAAATTTGGGGGGGTTGATTATCAAAAACAAAAAATTTAAAAATGTTTTTAAAAAGTAAACAACTGAATATAATTTCACGAAAATGGTTAACTGTGGAGGTGCGAGTAGCTAAAGCGAGGCTAATTTGTTGCATGAGGCAAAGAATAATTTTTGTGTAGTAGTCAGCGAGAAAATAAGGACAAGTAAAGCTCAGCTAGTTTGTTTCTTGGTCCTAGCCTCATATTAACAGGGAATTGTAATTTTTTCCACAACTTCAGGAAAGACGTGTAAAAACATTTTTAGCAAGTCTAGCTAGTTTTGTGACTTGCTAAGATGATTGTTTATTGGTCCAAGATGGGTTTTTTTTTTTGTTTTTGGGGGAAAAAAAAAATCATAAACACAATTTAAGGATGACACAATAGACTCGCTAAATCATTTTCTGTTAAATTTGGGGGTAAGATTATATATTAAAAAAAAAAAATCTACATAATGGCAAACTACTGATTATATTTTCATCGCAATTGGTAAAAGGTTGGCTGCCAAAGTTGGGCACATTTTGTTTGCACCATACAAAGCCATGTTGAATTTTAAAGGTGAATTCCACCGTTTTGTATCAACAATGAAAATTTACTCACGACATTTATAGCAGCTTATGCCAGTTTCATGATTTAGGATGAGCAAATTTCTTCCTGGTCCATTTTTTGTGTAACCTGCGAGACAAAAAAAAAAAACCAAACAAAAAACAACTGACCTACAATATTTTAAAATTGCGAAATCGCAAGCTCTAAAATCTACGGTATTATCATCCATGCATTTGTGAATCCGCTGCTCCTTACGAGGGCCGCGGGCGTGCTGGAGCTTATCCCAGCAGTTTTCGGGCAGTAGGTGGGGGACACCTTGAACCGGTTTGCCAGCCCATCGCAGGGCACACAGAGACAAACAACCATTCGCGTTTACAATCACACCTTGGAGCGGTCAATCAACCTACCAAGCGTGTTTTTGGAATGCGGGAGGGAAGCCACGCAGGCACGGGGTAAACAATGCAAAGTCCGCCCAGGAAGGCCGGGGCCGGATTCGAACCCACGAACTCTGCACCGTGAGGCGGATGTGCTTACCACCGTTAAAAAAAATTGTCAAAGCTGGTTTTTGGGAAGAACAAAAAAAAAAGCAAAAACAATTGAGTTGTCAAATTCTTCCACACTGTATCGAGGTTGACCGCCCTCATCGCTCGTGGCCAAAAACCAGCGACGGCCAACAACATAAAATAAAATCACGTTAGTAGCCAAATCAAGCTCTTTGGGTTAAGCTCAGTTACTGGCGAGAAAAGAAAATAAGTTGAACTTACTTATGACATTTTAGTTTGACATCTGAAACCGAAATCATTGTTAGAGAGAATTTGGCCTTCCAATCGCAAGCTCTTGATTCGATTTTCAAATTTTACTGGACCGCACATTTTTCCTGCCCTGCTCACAAATCAAGAGGGCTCACAAAAGAACAACGTTATGCATACAGTCAATAAAAGTCTCTGCCCAAATGACAGCGCTAATTTAGCAAGATCGCGAAAGAAAACCCAAATATAATTTGATGCTTTTTTTTCTCTCCCCTTTACGAATTCTTGAACGATATTTGAGAACCAGTGATTACGACGACAGGTATACGAAGTGAAAAGGCAAGAGTCCGAAACATTCAGTCGGTACAAAAGATTTCAACGTAAAGTTAGCAATGTCTGATTGGGGGTGTTGCTAATATTGGGTATTGTAACGTTATAAGCGTGGGGGGGGGGACGATTTTTTTCCCCCTTCGTTCGCTATCAAGTAGTCAACAAACTATCAATGCTACATATCCACTGTCGATAGCATATGGATTTGAAATCAAAATCCTTCGAACGGTGGGAGAGAAGCGACGGTTGCTTGCAGTGTGAGCGCTATGACAAAAAAAGAAAGAAAAAAAAAAACTCCTTATCGAGATGGATCGACAACTTCACGTTAACGGCGGCGAACGCGGCGCGGCCTCAGATTGCACGACAAAAGGCATCATCACTTTAGGCATTCAAATAAAAAGAAAAATCGTGTCTTGGCACCGACGAAAATAATTGAAAAAGAAGGGAGAAAAAAAAACGATAGAGCAAAAAACAAAAAAGAAAAAAACCTCGCCCCCAAAAGTAATAAAAGAAATACAGTGATCCCTCGCTCTAACGCGGTTTACTTTCCGCAGCTTCGCTGTTTTACGGATTTTTTTAGTGCAGTTTTTTAAATGCTTTTAACGCTTTAAAATCAGAACGCGGCGGCGGTGGCGCCGCGTGACGACAGTACAGTATTTCCAAAAACTATTATCGTTATTTGTTGAAAACGTTTGTTTGGTTTTTTTTTGTAATTGGGCCTGAAAACAGGTTTTTGTCTTTGATTTCATTGTATATAGAGTTAAGTATTGTATAATAACTGTAAAAATATAAAGTACACTACGTCACGGATTTCACTTATCACTGGTTCTTTTTGGAACGTAACCCCCTGCGATAAACGAGGGATTACTGTAACCAGAAAAAAAGAGAATACAAAAAAAGAATAACAAAAACAAAACAAAAAGTGAGGAAATAAAACAGCTAGAAATGTTCATTCATTCATTCATCTTCCGAACCGCTTTATCCTCACTAGGGTCGCGGGGGGCGCTGGAGCCTATCCCAGCCGTCTTGGGGCAGTAGGCGGGGGACACCCTGAATCGGTTGCCAGCCAATCGCAGGGCACACAGAGACGAACAACCATGCACGCCCACACTCACACCTAGGGACAATTTAGAGTGGTCAATCAGCCTGCCATGCATGTTTTTGGAATGTGGGAGGAAACCGGAGTACCCGGAGAAAACCCACGCAGGCCCGGGGGAAAACATGCAAACTCCACACGGGCAGGCCGGAGCTGGAATTGAACCCGGTACCCCACGTGCTAACCATCGGACTACTGGGCCGCCCGCTAGAAATGTTTGTGGTGAAAAAAAAGAAAGAAGAAAAAAAAAAAAAAACATGAATTGAAGACAAAAATAACACCCCCTCAAAAAATCTCAAATTGTGAAAAAAAAGGGAAAAAAGACCAAAACAAAATAAGTAATAGAAAAAAAAAAAAGTATGGAAAAAGCTTGTAAGAATTCTTCCGCGAGTACATTCATCATCCTTCCAGTCGGGGATTTTGTAACTAACACAGTAGGTGCATCTGATGTGGTGACGCAGGAACAACTATCGGGGCGGGGCCAGCAAGAGGGCGGGGCCAGAGGGAAAGGGGTTGGGGGGCAGCTGACATCGAAAGGAAAAAGGGAAGGCGCTACGGAAAAAATGGCTGAGCGACAAAATCCCCTCTGCACTTTGCGCCTCACTCCAAGCTGATCCACGGCGGTCCGCTAATTAGCTCTCGGCAGTTTTTGGAAACGCTCAAACTTTTTTTTTCCGTCCTCGCTACGCCAGGTTGCTCTCGCTCCTCAGGGCTCCAATCACACTCTGGATGTTTTCCTCAGGAACCTGCAGAAGATGCCACACTTGCTTTGGGTTCATTTCAAAAGATCCAATCAAATTCACTTAAAAAAAAACAAAAAAACAAAAAAACAAAACCGTGCAAGGCGCGGCTCGCTTACCAGGGCGTGGTCAAACTTGAAGGTGCTAATGTAGTAGGCGGGAATGTCGGCGGTCGCCAGGGGTTCCGATATCTGAGCCACGATGCCGCATTCGTCTGTTGAAATACAGAAATACACCAATGGAACACGCGATGACGAACACGGCGCGAGCTCAGAAAGCGAACAGACTCACCAAATCCTAAAGGTTGCCCCCCGATTCGAACCATTTTCCAGAGCTCGCCAGAAGCGCTGGTGAAGAGGACGTTGTTTGGGAACCTGTGGGGGGGGGGGGGGGGGAAAAAACCAGCTTTGAGCAGTTAGGGGCAAACTCGCCATCACCGTCGTGAATCTGCCGCTCACCTTTGCGTCGTCTGTTCGTCCATGACCAGCGAAATGTAGCCTTCGATGAGGGAGAACGAGAAGAACCGAATGTGACTGGTGTCCTCGCCGCCGGCGCCCGATTCTTTCGACCTAAGGACACCGCAAAAACAAAAAAAATGAAAAGCCAAGCTCCAAACCCGAGTCCACAGCTCAACAGTTAAACCCTTCCAGCCGTAAAGACCAACGCGACTCGGTCCCCCAGCCCCAAGAGCTTAACTCTGAAACTTGACACGAGCTGACCCCAATCCAACGCGACCCCTCAACCCAACCCCGTGAAACCTAAGCCCTAAAAGTAACCCCTTCAAGGTCACCTCTAAAAGCCGAGCCCGAAGGCCAATAGAAACGTAAACCCCGAAACCTCCAACCCTGTCCCTGGCCCCAGCTTACCCTCCAGAGTAGAACATGACATCCATGAGCAGGGTGGCGACAGAGGGAAGCGTGTCCGGATCCAGACTGGTCACGCAGAACATGTTACTGGGGCTGGAGAGCGGGTGGATGATTGGGCGCGGCGCTGGAGGGGAGGCGGCGGCGTCAAAAAAAGCTTTCGTGAGAAGCGAGCGCAACAAATGGGACGGAACCTCCGCGTTCTTCACGTACCGAGTTTGGGTTTGACAAAACCGTTGGTCACCCCCAGGTGGTGGGCGGCAACCGTCTCCCCGTTGACCACCCGCAGTAACGTGAACTCCGAAGACAGCGTGTGCATGACCATGGGCAGGTCTCGTTCTCGGACCTGCAGATTATACGGCCCGATCAGTCCCAGGTTCCCGCGCTCAGTGACGTCTGGCTGACTTCGGGGTGCGTACGGCAAGGCTTGATCTTGACAAAAGCATCTGACAACCCAATCATCCGGATCATACGTCGAGACATGCCAGAATCCAAACCGGCAGATGTCCGAGACCTGCCATTCCAGGAGCGAGCTCTTGAGCTGCTTTCACGTAACAGATTGTCAACATTGACACCATTTTTTTTCCTCCCGCCCCAGAGCCGCTCGGCACAATTTTTTTTTTTTTTTGATACAAGGTGATTATAAAATACAATAGAGTCTGAGAAAAGGCAGAGATGCTTCACCCAAAGGCGGCTGCGAGAACGGGATCGAGAACAATACCTCAGCACTGAGGATGGAGTCCGACTGATACGTCAACAGCATGACCAAGACAGATAGTTCCCTATGGTGGTTTAGAGACCGGACTCCAAGCCAAGACCTCAAGGGAAAAACTCATCACCGGACTGAAATCTCTTGCGATTTTCGAGCCCCCGCGGCGCAAACGTCACACCACTTTACCAGGACGTCGTCGGTCGGACTGCACGTACAAGACTTGAGAGCTCTCAAAAGCAGTTTGGAGACGGGATTCAAAACCAAGACCTTGGGGACCAACTCCTCAATTAACTGAAATGTCCTGCAATTCACGGGCCCGTACAAACAACGCGACGCATTCCCAGGCCTGGCTTATTCCCATTTATTGTCATAAATTCTCCTGAAAAGTTCCCATTTTTGCAATCTCCCACCTGCCCCCACTCACCAGGATGAAGTCAGTCTGATACGTGGACAGCATGAAAACGGAGATGTTGTGGTCGGCCAACGGCGCGATGACCGATTTGGCGATCTTGGTGACGCCGATGGGCTGCGAGTTGGAAGCGTTCCCGCCGCCCGACACCACGTTGAGCGCCAGCCACGTGGCCTCGGCGACGCTGATGTGCTCTGACTCGGGCAGCTCTGCGGGAGGACAAAAATGAAGACCGCATTCTGCACCCGGCAACGCAACGGCCAATTTATGGTTCAAGCGAAGCGGTCGAAAACCAGAGTTTCTTCGGTTTTTGGGGCGCAGGTATCCCATTCAAGGATACGGAGACATTTTTTTTTTCTGAAGACCCCCTCGTAATCCTACAACCACTTGAACGTAACTTTGTACCCCGACATGCCATGGGAATTAAAAATGGTGGAAAAAAAAGTTGTCATGTTATGATACATTTGCTGACCCCAAGTTCTGGCTGCCCCCGTTTGACCTGTTCAAACGGCGACGACAATTCAGGCTTATCAACCCCCCCCCCCCAAAAAAAAAGAAAAAAAAAGCCACAACTCTCTGGTCTCCTGGGGTGAGCTCCATCTCTAATCAATGAACCCCATCTATGGGGGAAGCCGGTATCCCTGGTGACGCCGTTGCCAGGACAGTTGTGCTTGGCCAGCAACGGATTCACAAAGCCACCCCCCACC